GTAGACTGTTTGAATAAAACCCCTTTGTGTAGTTTGAGTGACCCGTTTTGGATTTGATTTCCTGCTTTCCAAAGAAATACTGTATCTTGAATATTGTTTCGGCCACAGTGTAATCTTGTCACCTGGTTTTCAGATTGAGTGCTATGACTATGATGATGATGGTTCGCACGATCTTATCGGATCCTTTGAGACGACATTGAGGCGTCTCCAGGATGCGTCGCGGACGTCTCCGGTATGAGCGTGTGCAAGTCCTGTTGTTTGAACGCTAGCAACCAACGTATTAGTATTCTGTGTATAATTGCAATATAACAGATGAATTAGATGGAATAAAATATAATTTTAAGTAGCCGTAAAACAAGTCTAGCTTTGATAAATCCACTTTTGCTATCACGTTTTGCAGGCAGAGTTTGAATGTATCAACAGTAAAAAGAAGCAAAAGAAGAAAAACTACAAGAACTCTGGTGTTGTGAGTGTGAAGCGCTGCGAGGTGTGTGTCTTTTTACATGAAGTAGCAGTAAGAATGAAACATTAGTTCTTCTATGAGACAAGTGGTTTTTGTTGTAGGTTGTAAAGGAGTACAGCTTCTTGGATTATATCATGGGCGGTTGTCAGATCAATTTCACTGTGAGTTTTGATTTTTTTTCTACTAATGCTGGGTGATGTTTCTTTAGTCATTAATAAACTCAGCACCTGTTACTTTTATGCATTAACATTTGTTTTATCCTACAGGTGGCTGTAGACTTCACAGGGTCCAACGGAGATCCCCGGGATCCTCAGTCTCTGCATTAYATCAGCCCTCAGGGCGTTAACGAGTACCTCACTGCTATTTGGTCTGTGGGCAACGTCATCCAGGACTATGACAGGTAGGATCAGGTTTGGCACAATATTTGATTGATTAAAATATTGTATATTGTCATGATTAGAAGTGATCACAGTTTTTTAATCCTGCTTTTTAAAAGCACTTTGTAAAACTAAATAAATAAATACAACCTCAGATGAACAGCACCACCTTGGAAAAGCAAACATCTGATGGTGTATTTATCCTGTTTTAAGGCTGATGAAGACTAGATTTGACATCTTCATATTCAAAAGTCTGAAYGTAGTTTTAACAAATAATCAAAGACAACAAACCCAGCCAGTTTCACTGATAATTCACAAGCTGTGCCAGGAACTAAAGGGAGAAAATGTTGTTTTCTTCATAGTGATAAGATGTTTCCTGCATTTGGTTTTGGAGCCCAGATTCCACCAACGTTTCAGGTAAAACCTGCTGTGAAAKACGACACTATAYGTTGCTACAAACTTCTGTTTTGCCATCAGGTTGAAATGTTATGGTGTTATGACACAAGTAATTACAGCTGAATATATTTTGTCACAGGTTTCCCACGAGTTTCCTCTCAACTTCAACCCATCAAATCCATTTTGTGCTGGTTTGTTGCTCGCTTTTTAAGCTTTAGGTTCAACAAAAGTCAGAATCAGATGCAGAAACTGCAGTTTATTTTGTGTTAATACTTTGGATTTCTGCTGCAGGCATTGAAGGGGTRGTGGAGGCCTACAGGATGTGTTTACCCCAGGTCAAACTGTACGGTCCTACAAACTTCTCACCTATCATCAACCAYGTAGCTTGTTTTGCGAAACAAGCCCTCCAGCAGACCWCTGCAGCAGTGAGTATTTGTTTCTCAGACTTCTTTGATAAAATCATGTTAGGTTGATGCTAACACCATGACAGCATTCTGTACCTGCACTTGATGAAGCATTTGAACACCTAGAAGGAACGGTCCAATTTGGATTTAATTTGATTCACACAAGTACCAACGTTAAAGCACGCACAGCTCAAGTGTGCATAGACTGGCTGAGGTCCTCCCATGTCCAGAACAATGGACTGTTTGAGATATTAGAGATATTTTTAGATAACTAATGTTTTCGTTTGTTTGCATCATTGTCCTGCTGAAGCAATACTTTGTGCTGCTGATCATCACTGACGGAGTGATCACAGACATGGACGACACTCGAAGCGCCATCGTCAACGCCTCCCGGCTGCCCATGTCCATCATCATCGTCGGAGTGGGAGGGGCAGATTTCCGCGCCATGGAGTTCCTGGATGGTGACGACGGCCGCCTGCGTTCCCTAGCAGGAGAGACGGCCGCGAGGGACATCGTCCAGTTTGTGCCGTTCAGGCAGTTTCAAAACGTGAGTCACCCTGAAAACATTACTGACTCTTCTGATCTCCCCGTGCTTTATGTTAGGATTGGGATTAGGGCTGGGCGATATGGCTGAAAAATGTATCACGATAGAAGTGTTTCATATCAACTGATATTGATAATTAGTGTTTAGTTTTGTTTTACCTACTTGAAATGAGGACCAGGAAAAAAAAAGTCTGATTAATACGGCCAAACTGGTGACGTGACCTTTTCTATTTTATCCACAACTTTCTCTCAAATTGTTACAAACATTTTCTCCTTTTACTCCACGTCATGCACTTTTTTAAAGCAGTTATTAGGCACTGTGGTGAAATATGAAACTGCTGCACATCACCAGGTTTTTGCAAGTTTAGCAAAGAGTGAGTAAGTTAGTTGATGCCACCAACCCTGCTTAGCTTGGCTGTGAGAGGACGAGAAGCTAAAGCCTTTCCTCTGCCTACATCCAATTCAATTCAGTTCAATTCCTTTATTCATTTCATTAAAACAAAACAAACAAATTTATATACAATAAGAAGAAAAATATAAAAAGAAAAAAGAAAAAATATATAGCTRTATATCGAAATTGCAAATAAAATTWAATGAAAGGCAGTGGAGAGAAGAAAAAAAATCTTCCCCCAGAATGCCKTGCGGTCCTGAATCAGAGTTCAGTGAAATGATCAACTTTCTATTTTCTATTAATATTGATCACATGTCTATCATGATATATTGTGACCATTCACATCAAACCAAGGATTAAGTCCCAAAGTGGTCTGTGGAGAAATAGGCAGTTATAGTGTTTTGGTTAAAACAATGGCTTTTTTTTTATTTAACAAATATATATCTTATCTATGGGTTGGTGAAGTAAAATATCTAAAATATAATCTGATGGCATTTTTAAGCTCTTTTTTTAACAGTAGCTACAAAAAACATGCAGAAATACATTCAATTTTTCTTATTTTCTCTGCAAGCTAACTAAGCTTTGTTTCTTTCCAGTTGGTAAATCTTAATATTTAACTATTATTTGTGGTTTCCTCTTTATAATGACATCAAAAAGTCCTCATTAAAATAGGATTAAGACAAACTATTATTGGGTTATATCCTGATTAGGAAGACAAATTAAGTCCCATCTCTGGAACCACTTGTGATATCAGGAGGATGCAGGGATTAAAATGTAGCTTAAACAGCAGGAATCTGAAAGTGTGGTCAGTTTATATTGGCCAAATTTGACTTACCGTATTTTTCGGACTATAAGCCGCACCCGCCATTTTTTTTTTTTAAAACGTGCGAACATCATCATATAAGCCGCACCGGACTATAAGCCGCACCCCCCACCCCCCATCAGTAAAAAAACAAAAACAAAACAGTACACCCAAAATTGTGGTCAAAAATGTGAATTCAACATCACATTTATTTTTAAGAAAAAGGTTGGCTAATTCACCGGTACAAAATAATAATGATGATGATGATGATGATAATAATAATAATAATAAAAACTCTCGGGAAAAAAAAAGGCGAGAGGTCTGGAATTAAAACATAAAAAGCAAACCTTTAGAAATTACCGGTAAAGTTCGGAGGAATACGGTTCATTTAACTGACCTTATTTTGGTAGTTTTCTTTAACTGTTTCTGGTCCAACAAAAAGTCTCATTCATCGTCCTCCRGTGCACTGAAACMRTCGAAGTCCTCCTCTTCAGTGTCGGAGTTAAACAAGCTGCGTCACACAGCGGTACCTGTTCAGTTTCTGTGTCGCTGTCCTCCCGGGGTAATGCTGGCTCTGAAGCTGTGGTGCCCGCTCCATGTAGCAGTCCAGCCTTTCGGAACCCATTTGTGATGGTGGACTCGTTCACTCTGCTCCACGCTGTTAGGATCCACTGGCAGACATCAGGAAATGTCGCTATTCGCTTTCAGCCAGTTTTTGTGAATGATTTATCCCCGTCAGGTCAGCTGCTGGGAAAGCCCTCCCGCTCCAGCATATACGTCACTGCATGGGATTCCTTCTCCGGGGAGTGCAATGAGGAAAAAAAAAGTCAGCAGCTCTTCACTCGACGTTTATCCACAAACTGGTCCTGGATTAAGCTCCAAAGTTTTTATCAGTCAGATTCCACCATGAAAAACGTCTGTTTTATCCCCTTTTATGAGTTTTTGGCCATTGACTATCTTTAAATTGCTGCTTCCTGGTACAACAGTCGGCTCTGGAAGGATCACTTTTTTCTTCTTCTTTTTTTTCTTCTTTTTTTTGAAGCGAGTTGTTGACGCAAAAGGAGCATAAGAGCCCCCTGGTGGGTGAAGAAAAAAATCCACGTACTGTATAAGCCACACCGGACTATAAGCCGCATGGTTCAAAGTTCAGGAAAAAAGTCGCGGCTTATAGTCCGAAAAATACGGTAATCCTCAGTTTGATGTGATGGGTCAAATATCGTTATYGTTTTATTGCCCAGCCCTAAATGGGAGTGGTGGTTGCTGTGATTTCACCTCTTGCTGTAAAAACTGCATGCGTCTTTGGTAAAATGAACTCAGCATCTCGTAACAGAGCAAACCCCACCCTCTTCTTTCAATTTAAAATCTATAAACGCTTCYCAACTAAAATCTCACTTCGTTCTTGTTTCTGCCCTTGTTTTTTTTTATCCATTTCTTTCCAGGCGCCCATCCAGGCTCTTGCTCAAAGCGTACTGGCCGAGTTGCCTCAGCAAGTAACCTCGTTCTTCAGTTCATTCAAACTGAAGCCACCCCACGATCCCAGTCCTTCTTAGGGGTACCCCAAAATATCACAACTCATTAAATCCACAATCTCTTGTTCTGCCTGTACAAATAATGAGCTGAAGTCTTTTTTCAGACTTGGTATTAACACATGTCCTGGATGGTCTGACAACTCTGACTGTGCTTTCTTTACTGGCATGACAAATTCTGTTCTAATTCTTAGAACCGTTTTGTTCTCCTTTAAACATTTAGAATCTTATTTTGAGTTTTTTGTTCATGCTGATACTGCTAAAGCAGCATGGGAAGCACTTTTGCTTTTATTCCTTTACTCTGAAAGTTTAAAGCTGCAGGCCTAATGGAACAACTTTTTCCCCTTTTGCTTGGCTTTGCCCTTTATTTTCCACACTTATTATAAAGCAACAGCACATCTGTGCAAAATCCACATAAAATCATGTGGATTTCTCAAAAGAAACCCAAAACATGCCCCAAATAGTGACTGAATCATTCCCTGACATAAAAAGAAATGATCATTTACAGTAAATTGAAATATTTTTTTCTTTAAACTATCTTTGTCTGCCCTGTTTTCTGCTTTTCATTGTTTTCCTTATTTGCCTACATAATTAAATATCACATAAAGAAGTGGTTATACCAGTTCATTGATTTATTCTGGTTTGATTGACTTAAACTTTTCTTTTTCACCCTTCAGGCTCCTCGTGAGGCTCTGGCAAAGACCGTGTTAGCTGAAGTACCGACTCAGCTCGTGGATTTTTTCACCACCATGAAACTGAATCCACCAAAGTCAAACCCTGCTCAGAACCCTGCTGGGACTGTGTGATGCCACGAAGAGACCACATGAAGACCAATCTCATCTCCTGGCCTTAGTCTCTGTATGTTCTGCTTTTAAAGTCCATCTTCAGCCAACCAAACGCCATCTTGTTTCCAGATCAGAACAGATCCAGCTGGAGTTGTTTATAACATCCATAACTTTTTATTTTGCTAAAAAAATCATTCCAATTTTAAGAAAAACTATGATGATGTGCAAGTTTACTTGAAAATTATTGATTTAACCCTTCAGTATTTCTATAATATTTACTGAAGCGGCATAGTAAAAACTGTTTCTATAAAGAAAAATAGTTCTTTAAACTACAAATTGCCTGTTTTTCTCCGTCTGTGGCATCGCCAAAATACAATTTAAGCAGTTAATTAAAAGACAAAAAGGAGCTTTTGAACACTACTTGGCATAAATAAATTCAACACATTGTTTCAAGTGCCTGTGACTTGCTTTTCCTACAAATACAATAAGAAAACATATTAGTATTAAGGAAATTTGGAATAAGACAGGATTTTACCCATTTTGTCCCAGAACTGGCATATGTTTCAGTTTTAACTTGGCACGGCCAAAGTGAAACAGGAAGTGACGACAAAGGGGAACTCCCTGCTCTTTTGTTTATTGAAACAATATTATTTGAACTCTTCTTTGTCTCTATGATAGTGACTAAAACATCAAATTCTTATTGCTGGGTTGCAGATGATGTAGTATCGATGTCATGAAATGCAGATGGGGGGCAGGAAGTAAATGAAGCCATGTTTCCTTCTGTTGATTCAGCGTCAAAATGCCTAATTTCTGTGCTGTACAGTTGTTGCAGCCACTCTAATCAGGAGAAACATCAAAGTTTTTTCATGTTCCGAAAGTAGTGTGTCACAAGGGAGTTAAATTTTAAAAAACTTGCAGAAAAAATAGGACAAAAGCGGATCAACAATCTACGGTTAAAAACAGGAGGTGTGAAACAAACAATGCAACAGTTTGCAGCGACCACTTTCTAACAGGCCAGGATTGTATTGTCAGATATTTTCCTGGATAGTTACTTGAATTTGGGTTTACAGAAGCTAAATAAATTAATTGCAAGTAGATCCAAGCACATAGAAATAACAGGAGTTAACTTGTTAGCGATAGCATTGTTATCATAAGCTAACTACTTAAAATAGCACAACTCACCCAGGCAGAAACAAATCAACAGACATTTAAAGTTTCTTTGGATCCTAAATGTTTGACCCAAACTGAAACTAAATAATTGCAGCTTTGAGACTTTTGAAAGCTTTCATCTGACTCGTAGCCTATAACATGAGGTCTGCAGCACCAGATAGTAGTTTATGTTCATCGCCTCAACACCGGGTAAATCCACCAGATTATAWAACAAGTCTTTTTTTATTAAGATAATATGAATCATATCCTAAATGTACACATTTTTTTTGCAATATCTCGTCTGCGCCAGCCCATTTAGGGCATTAGCGTACTCTGTGATCAATTTCGATGTGTTTTGAACCAGAGCAAATCACTTCCTGTCCCCCCATCTGTCATTCAGGCATCATCCAGGTCATGTGACTGCAGCCCAGTCTGTGTTTTTAGCCATCGTAGCAATGTTTTGTCACTTCCTGTGACTTCACATGCAAATATCTCAGCAACTATAAATCTGAGCTGCATGAATTTTATTTCTTTTATACTTTAAAAATGCACATGGACATGAAATCAGTGCTCTTGAATTAATTTATACTCTTGTAACTACCAGCTCTGTAAAGCTCAAGGCCAATCATTCATATATTTTTGCAGTCTCACATAACTAACTAGTTGCTGTCTATGGCACATGGAGTATTATTTCAAGTCATGCTGTTGCATGTTTGAAGTATTTACATTACTAACACAATGTAGTATTATAGTGAYCTAGTTTGGTTTTTAGTCAAAGGGATGCCACATTCATTTATAATGCCAGTCTTGATAATGTGCCAGTTGTGAATATTTGGCTTTCCGCCTTTAGATAATCTTTAGATTCATTTCCTTAACTGACAGAAACATTCAGTGTTAGTCATGCCAACGCTCCTAAAACTTGATGCAATTCTGATTATTGAAASCTGTGTATGTTTTAACTGTCATAATGGATCATGTTGTATTCCTGCTGCTTTGCAATGTGTCTYAGAGCTTTCACTTTGCAAATAAAACAGCATATATTTAGCATAAACAGAGTGCTGGACTCGTTTCATGTTAAACTCCATAGGATCTGTCGACCACAGAAACCAAAAGTCTACAAGAAAAGATCAGTGAACAGATATTTTATGTTGTGCTGGTTAAATTTTAAAAAATATGTTTTGCTTGGAGAGCTGCTGCTGTCACCTACAGGACAGTAGGTGAAAAAACAACTGTTCGGTTCTAAATCACTACGATTAACACATCCTGTAAT